TCCTTCAGGTGCTTTTTTGAAAACTTGAAGCGGATTCTATGTGTTTTGCACTAAGGAGTCTTCCGTCTAGCCACTATGCCATAAGGTCCAGATCGGTGGAGGGCTGCAGTGATGGTTGTCCTTCTGGAACTTTGTCCCATCTCCACACAGGTCCTCTAGAGCTCAGTCAGAGTGACCAGCTCTTGGAAGAGTCCTGGTTGTGCCAAACGTCTTCCATTTGAGAATTATGTTAGTCACTGTGCTCTTAGGAACGTTCAGTGCAGCAGAATTTTTTTTATAGCCTTGCCCAGATCTTGGCCTTGCAATAATCCTGTCTCTGAGCTCTGCAGGCAGTTCCTTTGACCTCTTGGCTTTTGCTCTGATACAGTATGCATTGTCAGCTGTGAGGCCTTCTATAGAAAGGTGTGTGCCTTTCCAAATCATGTCCAATACAATGTAATTTACCCCAGGTGGACTCCAATCAAGGTATAGAAACATCTCAGGCACCTGAGCTGAAGTTCAAGTGTTGTTGCAAAGAGTCTGAATATTTATGCCAATGTCATAATTCAGTTTTTTTTATTTTTAATGAATTCACAAACATTTCTAAAATTCTGTTTTCACTTTGTCACTATGGGGTACTGAGTGTAGATTAATGAGGAAAAAAAAAGGATTTAAAACAACGGTAGTATCAGGCTGCAATATAACCAAATTGAAAAAAGTGAAGGGGGTTAAACCTTCATATGCAATAACTTTCTTACACACAAGATAATCTAGCATATGCTATTCTTAAAGCCCAACTCTGGAATAGAAGAAAAAAAACCTTGCAGGCTCCCCTACCTAAATGTCTACGGGGGAGACTGCAGGGGGGCTGTATTACTTACCTTAACTCCTACTCTGCTCTTCTTCTTGATGCTCCGGGCTGTGAACTGTCGCTCTGCGTCATCACGTACATTGCAGGGTTACTAGCCCTGAATTGTATGTGAATGAGGCAGGTGTGCGACTGCCATCGGGAGCGCCTTCGAGAGGAGACTATGCAGGACTGCTTGCACAGAGCCTGCCCGAGCTAGGAATGTGGTATTACCTCTCTCTGAGTAAGTATAAGGTAAGTATTACCTCCCTCTAGACTTTACACCCATTTAATCCTTCCAGTGGAGCCACGTAGCTTTTTTTTCTTGTGTCCAGAGTTGGGCTTTAAGGTAGCGCCATATTTATTGCCAGTAGGTAATTTGATTAGCGTGTGTTCCAGCTACCTCTACAGTTCTGAAAGCCATCCAGTGGAGATCTAAGAAAGGAAAAAAAATCTAATCTTGAGAAAATGTAAATGTATAAATTGATCAGTAGAGGGCATAATGCAGTTAGATGTCAGGGAAGCAGGAAAAGCCAACATAGGTTATTTTATTATTTTTACTGTCATATTCCACGTTCGAGGGGTGTGTGCCGAAGGCTGTAAATATAGGGAAGAGAAGTCTAGCGATTGTATATAATTCCGAACAGATAGGAGAGGTAACATGTTTGGGTTTATTAGCAGGCTGCGCACATAAAATGCTTCACTTGTAGTTTTCATTTCACTGATAATGTAAACCATGTAACCATCACCTTGTGTTGTGGATACACTTCATAACAGTTCCTTTACCAGGTACAAAACAGACTTTACACATGACAGATAATTTACATCCCTTTATAAAACTAGAACATAAACATCCTTAGATGTTTCACTGATTATGCCCCTAATAGAGAAATATGAGGCTTTTTTATCTCTATATTAATTTCTTATGACCAGCTACAGATTACTGCCCATCATTATTATTTTTACAGTGCACTGGGGAACCGAAAGCATTTCAATTTGCAGCCAGTATCAGTTATGTTTTAACTTCCATGTAAATGAATAGTAAATAGAATTTGAAGAGTTTGCATAGCAAAGGTATATCAGAAAACAATTCATTTATTTTTATAAAACATAATTTTCTCATACTTGTTTACCTTTTTAGATTTGTCAGGAAGATGGATAATAGTGGATAATGCAAGTTAACTTAGCCACATACTCGGACAGGCAGCACTGAAAGAGTTAACTTAACCGACACTTAACATTATGGGGGCATTACATGAGACGTAAAAGATGTGACCCTATCAGTTTAGATTAGCATACTATTGATGTGAACTTAACCTGAAAGCCCTCACCCGACCCGCCGATGTGCTGAGCTGACAAACTCCTGTAACAGAATTAATAGGAGATCCTTTTGTCTACATAGTTAAACAATGATGACAGATCATATGCATGACATTAATAGCAAAGCTATGAGCAAAACAGCCCAATCTCCTTTGTGTGGGCTTTTTCAATGTAAAGTGTATATAGCCCTAGAGTCGGAAGGGTATACATTTCTCTCCCTGCTCTATAGTGTGTGGCTTTGTCACAATAGTGGCACTCGAAGGGCACACAGACTGCAGTAACTGGCTGACAAGTGTGATAAAATGATCTGCCTTAACTAAACTCGTAAAGCACTAGGCAATAAAACTCAATCTTCTGTAAAATCCAATTAAGTCATTATCTGACTGATTGTATCTTTAATTGAAAACAGAAGTGACAGTAAATTTCTGTGATATATCAGGATCAATCGATACCGCTATACGATGCAGCCTCAAGAAGTGATTTATAATGTCAAAGCCATATAGGTAACTCCACATTATTCTCTCTAAAACCACTGGTGGATGAAATTAAGAGTAAGTACATTTAATAAAAAAACAAGATGGTCAGGTTATTGATTACAACAGATGGGGGTGAAATGAAATAGATGTTTTCAAAAGCACTAGGCGAAGAAAATACAAGTAATTTCTTTTTTTTTTCTATTTTAATACAGCTCGCCAAGTATACACACAGGTAAATTTAGTCATCAATAACATTTTTTTTATTTCCAGTGCGGCTGCAATGACATAGAACAATGCTCAGGAGACTTGAATATGAAAAAAGAATACAGCTCAGTGTAACCTTTCAGCTTAGGCTGAGTATCAGCACAGAATGTATTAAGGTTAATTATAAAACCATTTGTATTAAGATGTAGCTAATACACAACTAGAGTTAATCTCCTTATAAAATCTTTAAACTCACAACACACAAGACATCTACGGTAATTCAACTTGCGTGCTACATTCTCTTAAACCAAACTCTACTTATTACAAACAAACTATAACTGCTTCTGGTCAAGGTAACATTTAAAGGAGCTTTCCACTTTAAAATAATTTTGGACCCTTTCTTTAAACCAGTAAACACAAGTGTTCACACCTCACTCATCTACTTTTTTTTATCCGTAAAAAATGAATCAAGGCAACTGGACTTGCTGTATTTTTCTTGAAGGTGTTTCGCTGGTTATCCAACCAGCTTTCTCAAATCAGAATTCTGAAAATTGAATGAGAAAGCTAGTCGGATGACCAGCGAAACGTCTTCAAGAAAAATAAAGCAAGTCCAGTTGCCTTGATTTTTTCACAGATATATGTAAATGGTAGCAAGACAAGTGGACACATTGTTGTTATATATATTTGTTATACATAAATATGTCCTGCAAATTGTTATGGTATACAAGATATTACTAGGGATGAGCTTGGGTTTGGACCAAACCTAAGCTCATTCCTAATTACAACCATAGAGGAAGAAGTAGATAGCATTTTTAAGTGTCATATTTGAGAGGACGGGCTATGGTTGACCTGGTTATCAGTTGATCAGTTGTTGGAATACTGCTGGCAAGCATAGCTTGAGATTACCACAGCTTGGATTTCTATAGCAAATGCCTATCCTGGGCCAGGTTGCATTACATTGGTCATCCTTGGAACCCTGCTAAAAAAACATGGATAAAGTTGTTTCACTTACTCTCCATAATCACAGATTTTGGTACAGGACATGGGCTATAAAGGAAGCAATGGATCCTCCAAGGTAGCCCAGCAGGAGTCTTTTAGTTTAAATCAAAGGTTTACTTTGTAAAGTACTCCACAAAAATCTAGCTTGGTTTTCATTGTCTTGACACATGGAGAACAACAAGTTGCTGAGAACCTCATGCAGCAAAAATATTCACACAGTATTAAAACATGTCAATAATATGAAACATTTTATATTTAATATCTTTTACTAGTATTTATTCCATAAAATCTCTTCAGTGCCTTTAGCACATGTGACACTTCAGTCACTTAGTGAAACTGATTATATTCGGTTCAGTAACCTTGAATGGGTCAATTTACTAAGACAGTATCTTGAAACCTAGTCTGCTAATGCCTAATACCCAATTATCTTCAGGGGTATTTCAGTGCATCTCCTAGCAAACAGCTAAATACATGTAAAATGCAAGCAAGTTGTTTTACCCTCAAAAGGATTTCAAATTGTGGCCATTCTTGTAATTTACACACATCTACCAAACTGCACAACCAGACAGGTGGCACGTCAATTTTCTGACTCAATAATGCAGCTTCCTATGTGACTCCTCTTCTCTAACCGGTTTATCGAACACTGACAGTCATCATCTTTGTGAAATGAGAAGGGGTTGACTCCAGAAGCTGTACTATGGGAAACTGAACTTCTTGGCTGTACAGTGTGGCTACGGTGTGTGAATCACAAGACTTTAGTAAAGTCCTTAGGATGTCCTGCCTCACTCTTTACCGAAGAACCCCTAAAGGTTGGTGCTGTAGTGACAAGGGATGGCATCGCAGGCATTAAATGTAAAACAGAATACCACCAGCACAACAAACAATGTGGTCAAGTGTTCGTCCTTATTGACGCATATTGTCACATAAAAGCAACGTTTCGGAGCTGCGTAAGGATTATGAAGTGATTGGTGTTGTTGGGGTACTGTTCAAATTGTCATATCATTAAGAAAATGTTAGCGCTCAATTAATGGACTCTTAACCTAAACAAAAAAAAAGAGTTCCCCATTTGCCAACCATAACATTATATAACATGTTAACATAGTGGAAAAATGATTTAATGATAATGTGGTATATGACAAGCAGATCATAAAACGGTCTACATTTTGTAAGGGCATGACTCATGAAGGGGATACTACCCTTTAGCCTTTACATATAACCCTATGGTAGACCTAACTTAAATGGAGGGACAGTTACTGATTTCAGCATGTGGTTACGTCAAATCTTCTCACTCGGCGTCATCAGCATTGCCTGTTACCGTGTAGGAGGAGGCCTCAGTGGGAGCTTCACACTCTGCTACACCTTTGCTGCTCTTATTGCTCACTGGAGAGCTGCTGGACAAAGAAACCAATCCAGAATCCTGGCTGCTGGGTGGTGAAAACACTGTGTGCACACAGAAGATAAAAACAAAAAAACAATTTGTTACTTGTCTGACCTAATGATGAAAACACATCGTTCAAAACTGTGAGGAACATTCAATTCTTAGTCCCAACACATAAGGAACATATGAATTTTTAAACATGGGTGGCACATTGACGCACATAAATATCTGCAGTGCCAGCAGCCAATAAAACAGAATAGTTAAATGGGAACTGTGAACTTTTTCAAGCTTTTAGACATACATGGTAAATAGATCAGCTTAATATACAGTATCTCACAGAAGTGAGTACATCCCTCACATTTTTGTAAATATTTTATTATATCATTTCATGTGATGACACAGAAGAAATGACACTTTGCTACAATGTAAAGTAGTGAGTGTACAGCGTGTATATCAGTGTACACTTGCTGTCCCCTCAAAATAACTCAACACACAACCCAGCCATTAATGTCTAAACCGCTGGCAACAAAAATGAGTACACCCCTGAGTGAAAATGTCCAAATTGGGCCCAAAGTGTCAATATTTTGTGTGGTCACCATTATCTGCCACTTAACCCTCTTGGGCATGGAGTTCACCAGAGCTTCACAGGTTGCCACTGGAGTCCTCTTCCACTCCTCCATGACGGAGCTGGTGGATGTTAGAGACCTTGCGCTCCTCCACCTTCCGTTTGAGGATGCCCCACAGGTGCTCAATAGGGTTTAGGTCTGGAGACATGCTTGGCCAGTCCATGACCTTTACCCTCAGTTTCTTTAGCAAGGCAGTGGTCGTCTTGGAGGAGTGTTTGGGGTCGTTATCATGTTGGAATACTGCCCTGCGGCCCAGTCTCTGAAGGGAGGGGATCATGCTCTGCTTTAGTATGTTACAGTACATGTTGGCATTCATAGTTCCCTCAATGAACTGTAGCTCCCCAGTTCCGGCAGCACTCATGCAGCCCCAGACCATGATACTCCCACCATCATGCTTGACTGTAGGCAAGACACTTGTCTTTGTACTCCTCACCTGGTTGCCGCCACACACGCTTGACACCACCTGAACCAAATAAGTTTATCTTGGTCTCATCATACCACAGGACATGGTTCCAGTAATTCATGTCCTTAGTCTGCTTGTCTTCAGCAAACTGTTTGCGGGCTTTGTTGTGCGTCATCTTTAGAAGAGGCTTCCTTCTGGGACGACAGCCATGCAGACCAATCTGATGCAGTGTGCGGCGTATGGTCCCTGCACTGACAGGCTGACCCCCCACCTCTTCAACCTCTGCAGCAATGCTGGCAGCACTCATAAGTCTATTTCCCAAAGACAACCTCTGGATATGACGCTGAGCACGTGCACTCAACTTCTTTGGTCGACCATGGCGAGGCCTGTTCTGGGTGGAACCTGTGCTGTTAAACCGCTGTATGGTCTTGGCCACCGTGTTGCAGCTCAGTTTTAGGGTCTTGGCAATCTTCTTATAGCCTAGACCATCTTCATGTGGAGCAACGATTCTTTTTTATAGATTCTCAGAGAGTTCTTTGCCATGAGGTGCCATGTTGAACTTCCAGTGACCAGTAGGAGAGAGTGAGAGCGATAACACCAAATTTAACACACCTGCGACCTTTTAACACTAACGAGTCACATGACACCAGGGAGGGAAACTGGCTAATTGGGCCCAATTTGGACATTTTCACTTAGGGGTGTACTCACTTTTGTTGCCAGCAGTTTAGACATTAATGGCTGTATGTTGAGTTATTTTGAGGGGACAGCAAGTGTACACTGATATACAAGCTGTACACTCACTACTTTACATTGTAGCAAAAATAGTGTCATTTCTTCTGTGTCGTCACATGAAATGATATAATAAATATTTACAATCCTTTACCCTCAGTTTCTTTAGCAAGGCAGTGGTCGTCTTGGAGGAGTGTTTGGGGTCGTTATCATGTTGGAATACTGCCCTGCGGCCCAGTCTCTGAAGGGAGGGGATCATGCTCTGCTTTAGTATGTTACAGTACATGTTGGCATTCATAGTTCCCTCAATGAACTGTAGCTCCCCAGTTCCGGCAGCACTCATGCAGCCCCAGACCATGATACTCCCACCATCATGCTTGACTGTAGGCAAGACACTTGTCTTTGTACTCCTCACCTGGTTGCCGCCACACACGCTTGACACCACCTGAACCAAATAAGTTTATCTTGGTCTCATCATACCACAGGACATGGTTCCAGTAATTCATGTCCTTAGTCTGCTTGTCTTCAGCAAACTGTTTGCGGGCTTTGTTGTGCGTCATCTTTAGAAGAGGCTTCCTTCTGGGACGACAGCCATGCAGACCAATCTGATGCAGTGTGCGGCGTATGGTCCCTGCACTGACAGGCTGACCCCCCACCTCTTCAACCTCTGCAGCAATGCTGGCAGCACTCATAAGTCTATTTCCCAAAGACAACCTCTGGATATGACGCTGAGCACGTGCACTCAACTTCTTTGGTCGACCATGGCGAGGCCTGTTCTGGGTGGAACCTGTGCTGTTAAACCGCTGTATGGTCTTGGCCACCGTGTTGCAGCTCAGTTTTAGGGTCTTGGCAATCTTCTTATAGCCTAGACCATCTTCATGTGGAGCAACGATTCTTTTTTATAGATTCTCAGAGAGTTCTTTGCCATGAGGTGCCATGTTGAACTTCCAGTGACCAGTAGGAGAGAGTGAGAGCGATAACACCAAATTTAACACACCTGCGACCTTTTAACACTAACGAGTCACATGACACCAGGGAGGGAAACTGGCTAATTGGGCCCAATTTGGACATTTTCACTTAGGGGTGTACTCACTTTTGTTGCCAGCAGTTTAGACATTAATGGCTGTATGTTGAGTTATTTTGAGGGGACAGCAAGTGTACACTGATATACAAGCTGTACACTCACTACTTTACATTGTAGCAAAAATAGTGTCATTTCTTCTGTGTCGTCACATGAAATGATATAATAAATATTTACAAAAATGTGAAGGGTGTACTCACTTCTGTGAGATACTGTAAATCATGTTATACAGTATGTTACTATATTTAGGCCTGCAGCTAACGATTATTTTCATAATGGATTAGTTAGCCGATTATTAGCGTCGATTAATCAAATCAAATAAAAATAAATACCATCATTTATTTAAAATAAAACACACAAATGCAGCGTTACAGACATAAAGTTTACTTCAGAATAAAATAGTATACACATTTTTTAATATCGCACTGCACTGGAACACAGGGCATTGCAGTACTGCGCGTTCCTGTGCGGGTGATCACACTGTGGACAGGAGGTGCATTTGGGATCCATTGAAATAAATGGAACTGCAACGCACCTCCTGCAGCAAATTTTGTCAGGCCGAAACTGAAAATGACTTTACCCATCTTTTTTTTATATACATACAATTTCTTAAAAAGATATATATATATAGAGAGAATCTCTCTCTCTCTCTCTCTCTATATATATATATATCACTTTTTAATAATTGTATGTATTATATTAGACATTTTAATTAGTTTCATGGATTTAAAATAATGTGAATTGTAGCACTAAGCCAATATAATACAAAAAATATGTTTTTTCTAAACTTTTTTATTTTATTGTCTTTTTAATTTCAGTTTAACTTTATTTTTTTTAAACTTTTTATTACTTTATTGCTGGGAGCAATAGCCAGCCTGCTATTGGATATTTCAAATTGCAATCACCAATAGCAGGCTGGCTATTACATCTGCCCACTGTCAATCAGCAGAGGAGGGACCTGAAGCAGAAAGTTCTCCTTCAGGTCCTCCCCTGCTGATTGACAGCAGACAGTGAGCGGGTGCAATAACCAGCCTGCTATTGCATTTTAAAATGTCCAATAGCAGGCTTTGTATGGCTCCCAGCCTGTAGATGTAGAGGAGGCAGGGGGGCGGGGCAGAGGAGCAAAGAACGGACCGGGTGATCAGAGCAGCGGACGGACCGGGTGATCGGAGCAGCGGACGCACCGGGTGATCGGAGCAGCGGACACACCAGGTGATCGGAGCAGCGGACGCACCAGGTGAGAGGAGGAACCGACTCTCATCCCCCCGGTCTGTGTCCCCGCTGCCTCTTTCGACAGACGGGGAGAGCATGGGCAACTAATCGAAAATCAACTAATCGATGATGAGAATCGTTGCCAACGATTCTCATTATCGATTTTAATCAATTAGTTGTTGCAGCGCTATCTGTATTAAAACCTAGTTTATATGTATAGTTTGGAATAACAGGGGTGTGGAAATTCTAGAAAAAACTACTTGTCCACGGACTAAAGCGGGGGCCGAATCTACTTGTCCCTCATGACAATCTACAATCTACAAAAAAAAATAATGTTAACCAAAATCGTATTTAGCAGTGCTAAGAAGTAGAGCTGCAACAGTTAATCGATTTAGTCGATTAAAATCGACGATTGAAAACGTTACCAACGTTTTCGATCGACGATTCGTCGCATATCGATTGATTTCCCTGTTCGGGGCTCTACACGCGGCCTGAAGCACACGCTGCTCACGTCCAGGTGCGCCA